ATAATAATGATAAATAATATAATGATAACATAATGTATACTATCTATTATTAGCGTTAAAAAAGCAAGTCATATATATATATATATATATATATATATATAAACCTAAACAGAGTTGGAAATAAATACTCAAATTATGCACGAATTTGCATTAAAAAGGTTAAAGATATAAAAATTGATAAATGTTTAAAACAATATTTTATAATCTTTCTTCCAGCTTTTTTTTTTTAATTGAAGATCTACACATTTCCATATAGTAAACTTCCATATAGTATTTTATAGCAGAACCTGTACTCCAGGAATAGTTGAAGGAAGCGAAAACGCTAAATAAATTTTTGCAAAAAACTTTTGCCCCATATCAGAGATGGTTCCATAGATAGAAGACAGTGACGCACGTATGAATTCTCATTTCAGATTTATGTCCAGTAAGTCGGGTCGAATTTATCTGCATACAGACATCCGTATGATCATTTGTCGTAAGTCCGACGTGGACACGGCGTCGGACTTCGGCTCGGAACCACCGAAAGAACTCAGGAGTTACATCCACGGCCCTACGAACCCGAAATTTTCGCCAAGGTGCTGAGCCACGTGGTACTTTCCATGGGGCTGCTGCCAATCGTTCCGCCCGCCCAGTCCCCCTCAAGTCGAAGTGTGATCCGACAAGATCCAAATTGGAGATTGATTTTTGTTCTTCTAACTATTTGCGATTCATGATGCGGACAACTAAGATGATTTTTTTATCCTAATAGAAAGAAGTAATCGGAAAATGTTCTTATTATTTATTATTTCTAAACGTTTTGTTAAAATTATAAAACATCGGGAACACTTGTAGAAATAAGTTATCATGTTAGTTAGAGTAACAATATTAAGACGAAAAATGTGTGTATATATAGTTCTTTCAAATTATTATAAAAAATATGTCCTATAAACAAATTTTTTTTTATTGTAAAGAATTATAAGGGAAGGGGGAGTGGTCACGAATCGAAAATACGCGAGGGTGTTACGCGGAAAGATTATGCAAACAGATCAACCGCTCATGTTGGAAGAATAATTTATATCATTATTCGTGATACATCTCTTTCTTTTCCTTTTTTGGATAATTGTAATATGTAGTCAAAACATCGAGTTCTTTTTGCGTTACTTGGCAGAGAACCAAGTGTTAGATAATATGGAATTGTTCCAGCAATTAAGTTCCAACACAATTGGTTAAGTAAAACTAACTCGAAATTGCGATTACGCTCCCAATGTCATTTTGATCGATGGTTTATGCTTGCAATATAGAATACTGCGTATATGCAAAATGATAATTTCGCGTGCAGTATCTTTGTTTTAAATTTGTTCTTATAGCAATTAATAATATTACATTTCGAAAATTCTGTTAACTAAATTGAATAATCTTCATTTCCGATCCAACAATTAACGATCATGGAAATGATGATTGGTCGACTAGCAATATATTTTGAATTTTCTTTATTCTATGCGTTTATATATAATAATTATTCTATAGTATATACTGCTAACCATCAATTTAATTTACGGAGTTTGCCGCAAAAGCTGGACGATCTCGTTGGGAGGCCATTTTCTCAACTTATTGCTGTAAATATAGTCACGCGTAGAGAGTAAGTCGAGTAAGAATTTTTAAGCAGGATGATAACTGCCATTGTGTGTGTAGCACTTTACGTTGAAATGAAAAAAAAAGAAGTGATATAAGCGCGGAAAAACGTCGACGAATTCGGTCCCGCGTTCGGATCGGATATATGAATACTAGGAGAGATCAAAACTGAGTGTGATTGAATGGTACGTGCAATGAAAAGTACAAAGTTTCTCGTGCATTACTTCATGTTCTCGCAATGGATCATTGTAATTTCCGATGAGAAGAGGAAATAACTGAGAAAAAGATTGAAAATTCTTTTCCCGGAAAACGAATGTGATTTTTGTGATTTACATGCGATTGTGATTTGTTCTTTCTTCTTTGTGATCCGACGAATGAACGCGAATGAACGCGAGCGACCGGAACTCGCGAATTTTTCCCTGGATTAAAAAAATGGTTATTTACACATACATATATATGTATATATAAATCAGAACACAATCTTTGTGTCCGTAGCACTGTGATGAATATTTTGATAGACTATAAAAGAAGAGTAATTATAATTACTATTATTATTATTATTATTACAGAATAACACTATTTCTGCGTAGTGAACATGTCGTAGATTTAATCGATTCTACTAATATGTCGTGCGAAGAAATATAATAGTGCGTAATTTACTAATTAGCGTCAGATTCATACGCCCGTTTTAGAATCGTTTAAGGCAAATGAAAAGTGACACTCGCGTTTTCCTTTATTTTTCTAACGAAGTTCCACGTGGATTGCGCGAACGGTTGGGAGAGCTTACATTCGATTGATGAATCTTTCACATATGCTTTACGTGGAATAATCATGATATGCATCTATTATTTTGTAGGTATGAAGCATTTAATCATGAAATTAATTGTGTAAATGAGAAATGTGAATATGTATATACACACACACACACACACATATATATATATATATTGTTTATTGTATACGATATTCACAGGTATGCAACAAGATATATTTGTATATTTAATATATTATCCCTATTATGCAATAGGTTATGGATTCACTATTTGCCGACAAAGTATAACCACAAGTCTGTAAAATGAGAATACGCTCGAAAAAACTCGAGAAGGCGAAATTTAAATATGCTTGTGTGTATATATATATATATATATATATATATGTATATGTGTATATATATATGCAATATTTTGCAATTAAACGTTTTTGTAATATCTAACTTTTTATTTATATAGTTAATTCAATTGTTTCATACTCACAAGAGATAAAAGGAATACATGCATATACCATGTAAAAATTTCTCTTTAGATTTAATAAATATTTCAATGCTACAGCTGTGAATCGAGTTTCGCTCAAAATTAAGTACCGAAAAAATAAGAGAATAAAAGTTCCCTTACCGTTTGCGCTATTTTGGATATAACTTATGTAAAGGCAGCTTTTATTATCCACGGAAATTGATCTTATGCAGCAGAATAATCTTTGATTCGGCAATGCGATAAAGCGTGAAATTTTTCTGGAAGACTCTTAATTGTCTGGTCTCGAATTGTAAAATAACGTGTTGCATAAAAGAGTTGCTGTACGTATAATAAAGAGGGACTATTTTCAATTGTGATTTTCTAATGGAGCAATTGAATAATTGTATATAAGCATATAGTAATCAAAAACATAACATACATAGTTTCTGTCGTAAAAAAACATTTCGATGCTTTAATATTTCCTTTTTTTTTTTTTATTAGATTTTATATTCATTTCATCTTATTTTTTTAAAGAAATGAATATTCTTTACAAACAATTTTAATCGTTTAAAGAAAATCCTTATTAAGTTTATACATTTATCTTTCTCTTATAAACGTACTAAAGTCTTTCACAAGAAGATATAAAAATATATATTTTAAAAATTGTATCGATTTTTTTTCTTAGGGGGAGAAAGGGAGAGTTTTTTACATGTGATCAATGTTTATTTTATTTCATTTTTTTTATTATTTTTTTTTTTTTTCGTAAAACGGACGTTAATACGATATCATGTAATTTACATGTTTTCGTTCGTAAGATCAATAATGGGATTTTGATTCTATTCTTATTTGAAGGAGGAACGAGTGTAAATAAATTATTTTAATTATTTCAGATCAATATCGCGATGGTTTGCACAACACAATCTAATTATTTTATCCCGCGCATTCTTCTCTTTTTATTGAAGGATTAC